AACACGCCTGCACGAAGTAGCCGAGGATAAAGGGACATGACCGGGGGGTTTCCTATTTAGCGTTGCAGGCACCCATTTGTATGCATTTCGCAAAGTGGCGCCTGCAGCGCCCTATGCTGGCCAAGCCCATGCAGTGACGTCTAAGGTTTTATTCTATGATTTTAAAATGCAAAAAAAAAGAATGAGTCCCGCCACCTAGCAGGTTCGATAAGGTGCAACCTTTCCTCTCTTTTATTCTCTCTTTTTCTTTTTTTTCCTTTTCATTCCGTTTTTCCTTTTTGCACGACCAGGTTTGTTGAATTGCTTGGAAGTACGTAAAAATTCAAATCAATGAAAATATTTTTGAAATTCGAAGAATATCTTTTAAAACTGATGAACTTTTTTGAATTTTGTGGATTTTTATCAAAATTGATAAAAAATTCAAATTCGTGAAATTCTCTTTCAAAACCGATGAACTTATTTTCAAAATTGATGAATTTTTTTCAACTTTTGTGAACTTTTTCCAAACTTGATGAACCTTTTTTAAAATTTGATGAATGTTCTTCAAAATCGATGATTTTTTTCCCAAAATCGATGACCTGTATTTAGCGCTGCAGTCCTATTTAGCGCTGCAGGCGCCCATTTGTATGCATTTTGCAAAGTGGCGCCTGCAGCACCCCATGCCGGCCAAGCCCATGAAGGGACGTCTAAGGTTTTATTCTATGATTTTAAAATGCAAAAAAAAGAATGAGTCCCGCCACCTAGCAGGTTCGATAAGGTGCAACCTTTCCTCTCTTTTATTCTCTCTTTTTCTTTTTTTCCTTTTCATTCCGTTTTTCCTTTTTGCACGACCAGGTTTGTTGAATTGCTTGGAAGTACGTGAAATTTTTTTCAAATCAATGACATTATTTTTGAAATTCGAAGAATATATTTTAAAATTGATGAACTTTTTTGAATTTTGTGACTTTTTGTCCAAATTGATAAACTTTTTTCAAATTCGTGAAATTATCTTTCAAAACCGATGAACTTATTTTCAAAATTTATGAATTTTTTTCAATTTTTGTGAACTTTTTTCAAACTTGATGAACCTTTTTTTAAAATTTGATGAATGTTCTTCAAAATCGATGAATTTTTTTCCCAAAATCAATGACCTGTATTCAAAATCTGATTTTTTTTTTTCAAATTTATGAACTTTTTTTCAAAAATCTATGAACTTTTTTTCAAAAATCTATGAACTTTTTTTTCGAAATCGATGAATTATTTCGATTTTGTGAAGTTTTCTTCCAAGTCGATGAAATATTTCAATTTTGTGAACTTTTCTTCAAAATCGATGATTTTTTTCAAATGCAAGATTTTTTAGCCCGTGATTTTTTTTCCAAATTCGCTAGCTTACTCCAAATTTCGTGATTTTTCATACTAATTACGTTGGATATACAATAGTATATGTTACTCACTAGTAAAAGGAAGGGTAAATATGTTAACTAAAAGAAATGGTCAAATAGTAATGTTTCGATATACTGGACAACCAAATCAGCACGTCATAGTGGTTACTGCCTAGGCCTATGCATCTGCCTCTACGTGGTTCGAACCATGGTTGTCCGAAATTAGCGCCATCAATATCATATTCACCTTTTTATTCATTTTGACGTTCCCGTGTTTCAAAGGGAGGTACTGGGCCTGCCTGTTACAAGTCCTCTGCGAGCGCCAACTAGTCTAAGGGGCGCTTATGGCGCCAAACAGGATCGTTTAACTTTCCATCATCCGATGCGTATCGCCAAGGTCCAGCCGTCAACGGCAGTTCATGAGCAGCGTCTTTTCAATCTACTCCCTCCGTTCTAAATTACTCGTCGCAGAGATGGATGTATCTAGAACTAAAATACATCTAGATACATCCATACCTATGACAAGTAATTTGGAACGGAGGGAGTAAGCCCGAGCGGAGAATCCTTGCGCGGAGGAGGTTGCGTTTAATGCTGAAGGGGGGCGAGGGCAATCTTGCTCGGCCGCGCAACCAGTTTGAAAAGCAGCGACCAAGGGAAAAAAGGGCTTAGGTTTATATTAGTTATGAGTTTCTTCATTATGACCTCACTCGTAGGTAGCTAATAAGTACAGCCAAGTTGATCTCACTTAACATATGTCAATGTTCAGACCTGCAAGCTTCCGTTAATTAATTAGAAGGACCTCGATCCAACCCCAAGTCTAGTCTACGAAAATCTTGTTAACAATTAATGATGCCAGTTGATCCAGGACTGGCTGATATCTCAAGCCGATACATGGCCTGGAACGGTTGTTGTTTGAACAAAGGTGAGCAGTGGCGGAGCTTGGGACACATCTTAGGCTAGATTTCTATGAATCTATGGGCAATTACTTATGATAATATGAACAAATCTCCTGGGTAGGGGGGCGATGGCCCAGCTTGATCTCCACTAAGCTCCGCCACTGAAGGTGAGGCGTCCTCCCTCATCTTATCCTAGGGGTGCTTACACTCTTATTATATTTATGAAGCCATGAATGGTCAATGTGCTTACACATATATACATATAGAATGAGATTGCACGGAGGTACACACGCAAAACATTGTCCTCGTAGATGACAAGCTTTGCTTGTTAGTTACGTAATGAAGTTATGAATTGCTAGTTATTATGTTGCTTTGGCAGGATGCTAACCTTTGCTTTGTTATGTAGTGAACTGGACCATGTCCTGGATTGTGACTTGTTGCTATGTGTGGCTGTTATGTACTATAGCTAGTTGATGCTATGTGTTAGTTATGTAATGAACAACACCATGTCCTTGTTATGTGCTAGTTGTTGTTATGAAGTATGAACTGCAGTACACCATGTCCTTGTTATGTGTTATGAACTACACCATGTCATTGTTATATTTCTTTGGCTGGACCGTAGTTGTTATATGTCAATTGTCAAGTATGTTATATTTGTTGCTTGATTGTCTGCTTATTTATGCTGAAATGCTAAATACGGCTTAGCTCGCTATTAGGAAATCCAAATGGATAGTTATCCAGTTTTTCAGCAGTCATAAAGTGCCAGTTCGCATATCATCATTGATGCTTATGCGTACATCCTATGCAATGTGTGTACCGATTGATATTGGATATTCATGTTCTTTTTCATATCAGAAGGACATGTTAATATTTCTTGAAAGTCGAACAGATCCATATGCCTAATTTCTCCAAAGTCAGAGGTGAAGAAGCATCATCAGTTAATTTGACGACGCAACCGATGTACAAGTAGCACTAATTAACAATCAATCGCATGCAATAAGACAATAACTATTACTACTACCTCCGTCTCGATGACCTAGAACTACGCGGATGACTTATTCACCTAGACGGAGGTAGTACCAATGTCATGTGGCTTCACCAGACGGCTAGCTATACAAGTAGTAGAGCGAATGTGCGAGCAACGCACCACCAGCAAGAGCTACCGGGCTAGTAAACATACACACACACGTACGCATCAGAAATAACCAGTGAGCCGAGCGAATGGCAGCACTCAGCGGTGGCGTGGACGATATTGAGGCAGGGCACACGCCGCTCATCAAGCCGGCGGCGGCGGCCGGGGTGGACAGGCCGATTCTGGCGGCGACGGCGAACCTGACGCAGCTGCTGCCGTCGGGGACGGTGATGATATACCAGATGCTGGCATCATCCTTCAGCAACGGGGGCAAGTGCTACAGCAGCAACTGGTACATCACCATGGTGCTGCTCGTGGTGCTCTCCCTCTCCTGCTTCTTCTTCGTCCTGACGGACTCCCTGGTCCACAACGGCAAGCTGTACTACGGGGTGGCCATCTGCGGCCGCCTCAACGTGCTCAACCTGTCCAAGGGAGAGGAGGACGTGGAGTTCTTCGACATCTTGCCGGAGCTGAGGAAGCGCCGCCTGAGGGGCCAGGACCTTGTTCATGCCGTCCTCGTGGTGCTCGTGTTCTTGGCAATGGCGTTGACCGACGTGGGGATTCAGAACTGCTTCTTCCCCAACGCGGGGGAGGAGGCCCAGCAGCTGTTCAGGAACCTGCCTCTCGGAATAACCGCCTTCGCCAGCGTGCTCTTCAGCGTCTTCCCCACCAGAAGAAAATTCATCGGCACCAGCCATCACACTGCCTAATTAGCAAGCATACAGATGGGGTCAGTTGTGGGTCAATACTAGAGATGTGTCTCCTATGTTCTCTAAATTGTGAAATGGAATGGTAGACCACTGGATGTGTTGACATTTGTTTTTTGCGCAAAGTGTTGACTTTTTTTATCAATGCTTTGTAATCATCGGGGGACGAGACTTGCCTGCTCCCCCGTCGTGTGCCCATCCGTGCTCCCGTCTACATGGTTTGATTTGATTGG